CTTTGGGATACGTCTCTAATCTTTGGGATACATCCCTAATCCCTGGGATACATCCCTAATCTTTGGGATACGTCCCTAATCTTTGGGATGCGTCCCTAACCTCTGGGATGCGTCCCTAACCTTTGGGATACGTCCCTAACCTTTGGGATACGTCCCTTTGTTTCTCCCTCTTCGGTTAAGAGCGTTCGGAATACGTTCCAATGCTCACACCATTTCGAAACACCGGGATACGTCCCTATGTTTCTCTCTCCTTCTGAAACTCTGGGATACGTCCCTATGTTTCTCTTTTTTCGAAACACCGGGATATGTCCCTATGTTTCTCTCTCCTTCTGAAACTCCGGGATACGTCCCTATGTTTCTCTTTTTCCGAAACACCGGGATACGTCCCTACGTTTCTCTCTTCTTTACGAAATACTGGGATACGTCCCTATGTTTCTTCTCCCTTATTTCCGAAACACCGGGATATGTCCCTATGTTTCTTCTCTTTTTCCGAAACAGCGGGATACATCCCTATGTTTCTCCTTCTTTTTTCGCAACAGCGGGATACGTCCCTATGTTTCTCATTCGTTTCGAAACACCGGGACATGTCCCTACGTTTCTCCCTTTTGGTTAAGAGCATTTGGAATACGTTCCAATGCTTATACATTTCCGAAACACCGGGATACGTCCCTATGTTTCTTGCATGATCATATGTTATGCTTGGCTTTGTGCATTGTCTTGCATTTTGCCCCTGCCCTCGGGCGCATATCTTTGTTTGTAGCTTGTATGCTTTTGTCTAAGTCTTCGGCCGTGTCAAAAATGGGTCGTCTCTGGGCTTTGACACTCACTCCCGTCATTTTTATGACTCTCGAGTTCTGTCAAAGAGGGGCAACTGTAGAGACCCCATTTTTGACCGACCTCAAGACTTGGACGTCATCATTTGAACACTCGGTGATCATCCTTGTTCGTGTTCGTCTTGAGTTCCCGGAGGTCTCGGCTACGCGCCCTGCCTCAGTATCTCTCAACTCGACTGTTTTGTGTCTGGTTTTGCACCAAACACCTGTTGTTTTGATTCTGAGGGTGGGAAGTAGCTTGTAGGCCATCCCCACACCTCACCGGCCGTGGCTTGAGGCCACCGGCCTTGTTTCCTTGCCACCGGCCATTGGTGATGGCCGGTCGGCACTATTTATGGTCGGTCGGCATTGTGTTTGGTCGGCCGGCCACTGTTTCTAATCAATCGGCCACTTTTCCTAGCCGAGACCTTTTCTTGAGGGAGCTTGACCCTCTTGAACCTTTTTTTAGCTTCTTGAGGAAGCTTGAACCTTTTTAGCTTCTCCAAGAAGCTTGACCCTTTGCTTCAAGCTTCTAAGAGAAGCTTGAGCCTTTCTTAGCTTCTTGAGGAAGCTTGACCCCTTTGCTCTAGCTTCCTCAAGAAGCTTGACCCTTTTTGCTTTAGCTTGCTTAAGAAGCTTGGCCCCTTTGCTCCATCAACCTAAGGTTCTTGGAAGGTCTTGAGAGGGCTTAAGGAGCTGGTTTTGGTCCAGAGAAGTAGCTGTTTTGCTGAGCTACAAGGGTGAGCACACTTTTTCCCTTTTTAAGCTTTATTTTGCTCCATGTTTTAGCCATACTTGAAAGTATTTTTGAGCTATGGCATAAACTGAAAAAAGTCTTATTTTGAGGTCCTTGACATGCTTGTTTAAGGTCTCTTTGGTGTTTGGGGTTGTTTACCCCCTCTTAGGCCTTGTTTGGCCTCTTTTTTTGTGCCTTTTTTGTGAGCTTCGGGACTACCTTGTATTGGCCTTCTCACCACTGAAATCCATTGGATTTCAGTGGTAGGGATGATGTTTTGAGGTCCTAAGAAGGAGAGGGCCATCCCCTCTCCTTATTGTTCTTGTTTGGGCCTCCTCACCACTGAAATCTTGAGGGATTTCAGTGGTGATGATGGTGGTTTAAGGTCCTAAGAAGGAGAGGGCCATCCCCTCTCCTTGTTGTCTTGTTTGATGCCCTTTTTGGCCTTACAAAGGGGCCTATATTTGCACACTTCTTGAGCTCGGTTCAGGCATTTTTCAGTGGGTTTTAGGACCCCCATGAGCCATTTCCAGAGTTTTTTTGGCCATATTGAATGTCTCTCTTGCATGTGCTTAATAACTCCTTGCATGGCCCTCTAAAGTAACTCATCATTTTTGCATGCCATGGTTACGTATCAGTGGTTATTTGGGCCTATTTTCACATGTTTTATTCACTAATTTTTAATGGTTTGGTGAGATTCCATGTGCATCATACACTTGCTTTGTATTCCTCTATTTTGCCTAGAAATGCATCTTGCCTTTGGACCACTATGCTTGCATATTTTGGCTTAGCTTTGTGAATTTTTTGGTCATTTTTTAACATGCTTAAGGTATGTCTTGGGTCTTTAGATTCACATTTTCCATGTTTAGTATAGCCCCTTTGCATTTTGGCTTGTTGGCCTTAAGTGTGTGAGTATGTAGCATGCTTTATTTGCTTTGTTTTATTGGTTTGGCACCATTTGTAGCATCATTTCATTCCCTTTGACATACTTTTATGCTTGCCTTGGACACCTCTTTAATGCTTTGAAAGTTTGTGTAGCATGCTCCATGTTTTGGCATTTGTGCATGCCTTTAAATTTAGGTCATTTGGATGTCATCTAAGTGATCTTTAGGCCTTGTTTTAATATGCTAAAATTCTGTTTTTAGTCATTTAATTCATTCCATGTGTGGTTGCACTAAGTGTAGTTCAATACTTCTTTGGTGGGCCTTAGGAATTGGACCATATTTGCATGCATGTTTGCATGTCATTTAGCCCTTATTTCATAGCACTATGGCCACTGTTTTGGGCCTAATTAGAGATGCCCAAATCATGTTTAAGTTCATCTCTTTGGTTGTTGCATGCTCTCCTTGTATATTGTAGCATATTGGTGAGTTGTTGCATGTTTGAAATCACATGATTGAATGAAGTCACATGTTGGCTTACATGCTGGAATGCCTACATTAGCCTTGCACACTTGTTAATCGCATTGCTCTATGCCTTGTATTTCTTGCATGCTCATTTGCATTGCCGTATTGCATGCCTAGTTAACATGCTTAGGTTGCATTGCATTGCATTGGCATGCATGCTTGGCCTCTTGACTATCCATGATAGAGGTTAAGTCCCCATTGGTTTGATTGTTTGCATTGCATTTGACATGGAAATGCATAACTTGGTCTCTTAGGCCATCACGCATGGAAATGCGCGATTGATGGTCCGAGAACCAAGGAGCATGTCCCTTTGAGTCACTAACATGATAAGGGACATGATTGGTGCATATATGCCTTGAATTGCATTGCCATGCTCTGCCTTGCCCTCTGTTGCTGTCAATTGCAGATTCTGCAGGAGCTTTCTGCCGACCGACAGTGTTTAGTGTCGACCGGCAATCCTTACTGGGCCGATATCTTCACCAACAGCCGATGATCACATACCACTGCCGGTGGCTATTCTACTCAGCCGGTGGTGTCTCCCAATGTCCAGAGAAGCAATCCTGAAGGTTTTTGGCAGCCTCTAGAGGAGTAAGAAAGGAAAACAGAGGCAGCCTATGCATGGCGGTGCACTTCCGAGCAAGACGACACGCATGCATTGGGTTCCCTTTCCAAGCCAGTTTACTGTTTTTATATAGCTTAGTTAGTTTGTTAGCTAATTAGGCAATTTGTAATATTAAATTAGCTTGTAGGTTAATTAATTTGTATTATTCTTTTGGTCCCTCCGAGCGAGGGTGAATTTGTAATAAGTGTGGGTGCGTGTGTGCATGTCTTCCAACCCCACTTCTTTCTCCCATTTTACTTACCTGCTTTTTGGTGGCTAGTATTGGGACATGTTTACTTTAGCATACCTTATGCTAGAATGGTGCATCATTCATCAGTATTGCATGCACCAGGCTCGGCGCATCATACTAACTGCATAAGTATTTCAAATCTAACTTGATACATGCTACTTGTCTATTTTCACATGTCATTTATAGACTAGCCGAGCCTACTCTAGTGACATTCCGCATGTGTTACATTAGCCATCTTAACATGAACTAGGATCATGCATATGATTACTAACTAGTTTCTGTTTTGGCTTGGAGTACTCTGTAAGTCCTTTTGCTTTAGCATACCGCATGCGTGTGAGTGTTGCCATAATTGCATGATTACCATGGGCTAGATGCTTATGTGTTATAAAACTGTTTGAATGCCTGTGGGTGAAGGTTGGATTGTCTGAGTTGAAAACACTCGTTGAAATCCGTGTTTTAGCCTACTTGTAAGTAGCAAATTCCAAAACATTTTTCCAAAAACAAACGATATTGCAATGCTTATTTCCAAATTAGCGATCTAGTCTATACTTGTTTGCTGTGCGCATAACATAGTAATTCTAGGCTAATAAATGGAATAAGAACACATAAGTTTTCAAAAATGGATACACGGTTAGTAGAGGCCGATCTTCGATCGGGCGAGAGGGGTGGCTCATAGCTGACCTTCCCGATCGTATTCCCAAAGCGTTCCCGAGTCGAGGCAACTTTGGTGATGACGGACAGTGGCCTTCGGCACCGAGTCAGGGTTTCCTAAATTCCCCCATAAAAATATTTAGGTGGCGACTCTGTATCTGGCAAAGCAGTCCATGTTTGGCACTTCTTTCCTAAAATCTGTTTTCTCAAAACGATTTGCCAGATTTGGACTCTTTGGTTCAAGATTAAGAACCGTGACGCAAATCGAGTCCGAACTATAGTAGCGAGGCCCACGCGGGCGCGTCTACATAAGGCTGTTGGGATGTTGCATTCAAGGAGAAGAGAGGATGTTGATCTATGAGTATTTTCCCAATGGTAGCTTGAGCTCCATTATTTTTGGTTTGATCTTTTGACCTTTCTTCTAACTTCTTCAATTGAATGTCGAAAACAAACTACACACTACTCAAAGTTGTATGTCATTATGTCAATTATTGAACCCAAAACTAATATTCTATACAAATGCCTCTCTTGATCTATGTGCTAGATACAACAAAAAGTAACTCTCTTGAATGGAGGAAACGGTTTGATATTATTGTGGGGATCGCTCGAGGGCTTCTCTACCTTCATCGAGATTCAAGACTGAGAATTATTCACAGGGATCTCCAAGCTAGCAATGTGCTACTAGACAATGAGATGAATCCCAAGATTTCATACTTTGGCATTGCTCGAGCTTTTGGAGGAGATCAAACATTGGGGAAAACAAGAAGGGTGATTGGAACTTAGTAAGTACCCAAAAGATTTCTTGCATATACTTGCCCAACTTCAAGTTTCATTGACTTATTTCTTGATTTATTAATTTGATTATGGCGTGCAGTGGCTATATGTCCCCAGAATATATATTACGTGGGCTCTTTTCAATGAAATCAGATGTGTTTAGTTTCGGAGTACTTGTTTTAGAAATAGTGAGTGAACAGCAGAACAGAAAGTTCCGACATCCTAACCATACTCGCAACCTTCTTGGACATGTAAGTTTTTACTTGAGTTTGATCTCTTCATTTTTGGAATTTTCTTCCATATTGATCTCTAATATAAATGTGCTCTCTTAGGGATGGAAACTATGGATTGAAGGGAATGCCATCAATCTAGTTGATGAGAAGTTGGAAACTTCAACAATGCTGATGTCAGAAGTAATAAAATGTATACAAATTGGTCTGTTGTGTGTGCAACAACGCCCTACAGACAGGCCAACAATGTCATCTGTGGTGTCGATGTTGGATAATGAGGGTGCCATGCTGCCCCGTCCTAAACAACCTGGATTCTATACAGAGGGGAGCAGTGATGAGACAGAACTTGCATCAACTACAGGAATAAAATGTTCCACAAATAAGACAACTCTAACAATTCTACTGGGTCGATAAAAAATTCCAATTGAAGCACTAATGCTCATGGTTATTAATATTATTTTTTTCAGTAAGAGAGTTAATACCATATTTGATAATAGCATTACTAATTATGGATGACAGATGATATATAAGTTTCCTTGTTTGATTGCAAACAAGATAGAATGAATGACCAATTTTTATTGGCCAAAGACTCTGCAATGCTCAAGTCAGTAAATTGGTGTGATTTATGCAATTGAGGTGAGACTTGTTGCATACTTCCTTTGGAGTTAGGTGGGATGGATTTTGGATTGTGATCCCTTATTTTTTGTTGTGATGTTATTATCAATTAATTTTATCTGGTTTTGAGGGTATCCCTGTAAAAAACTTGGCAGAATGTATAATATTTTCTTAGAAAAATCTTAAATCAAGTCTTCAATGCGTATAATACATTTCTATTATGTTTATCAAACTTTAACTAAAAACATTCACACATATAATTTTTTGAACTTTACAATTTCTTTTTGTTATTGCTTTAGATAACAGGTTTCATAACAGGTCCAATCATTGATTTTCTTTTCAAAGACACATTAAGGTAGCTAAAAGAATTTAATGATATTTTAGTACAATTATTCAGTAGATGCAACCAGTTGCTACTGCACGGCTTGGTAGAAGAGGTAGAACTCATGATTTTTTGTTGGGCAATAAGCGACGGCAAAAGGCATAATGATTTGTGATTAGTTTTATAATGTGTCATATGGTAGCCCAGATATGGTAAACAATTTTAATATTTTATAGACCTCCACTCACAATTACAAAAAATACAACGATTGATATATAAAAAAAAAAAGTCAAATTTTGCTAAAAGCATAAATAGTGCACTAACAACAATCATACGTTAATCAGTATTAGATAAATAGAAAATAATAATAGTAATGTCATCAAATTTTAAATAAAAATATAAATTTATCTTTACAATAAAATTTCTTAAAATTTATTTGAAATACGAATTATCTTATGTAATTTTGGAAATTATATTCCATCCTTCCAAGTTTATAATTGCATAACAAATTCATTTTATTAATAAAGCATTAAATCAATTAACATTTTTTAATAATATCATAAACATATTTCAATTAACAATTTAGATAATTTTATTATTGTATAGAAGAGTAGTTAGAAATTTCATTTTTTATGTTAATTGTATTAAATAAACAATTCAAACAATGTAGTATTTGTAATTTTTCAAATCACAGAAAACAATTTGTATTTTAAATAAACGTCAGTAGGTGAATTTGTAATTTACCAATTTTAATACAATTAAATAATAATAAAAAAGAGGTTTATTACACTCAATACCACGAAACTATTGCCAAATGTCTACTTAATTCATGAACTATCGATTGAGTTTACTAAATTCCTAAAGTATATAAATCAAAATTGATTTAGTCCCTAAACTATCGATTAAATCTATTAAGTCTCTAAAATATTTAATTCAAACATATTTAATCATTGGAAGTATTGCAAAAATAAAATATAAGCCTATAAATATTATAAATTAATAAAAGATCCCATCTAACTAAAATTTTACTTCAAAAAACCTTAAATTTTTATTTTGTTTTTGAAAAATAGGTGTCAATTCTTATGGAGAATTTTCTTTATAAGGATAATGATAACTTATCTTCTACAATGACTACGTATTTGCCTTTTTCTAGTATTATATGTCACATCATATCTCGTTTATAATTTTTAATTGATTATTTTTAATTTTTTCGCTAAGTTCTTTTTATAATTAATTAATGTATTATTTTATACTATTATTATTTTTAGTGAAGTATTATTATTAAAATTAGTGTTTTTTTTTAGGGTCCCTGGTATTAAGATTTTATAGCATAGAGGACACCAAATATTTTCATAATGTCTAAGGTCCCTCAATTTGATCTAGAGAAACTTTATCCAGAGAATTTCTCTAGACTTCCTAGAGAAATTTCTCTCCAGAGAAATTCTCATCCAGAGAAATTTCTCTCTAGAATTTCTCTAGACCTTTGAGAGAATTTCTCTCCAGAGAACAAATTTCTCTGAGTTTGTTTTATTGAAATTTCACTGAGTTGTCTCAGTAAATTTCACTGAGTGTACCAAACAAACAAAACAAACAAACAAATAGTATAAATACATACATATGACTTCACCAATTTTACTCAATTAAAGGCAGAGAAAATTAAACAAACTGAGTTTAAATTAGAGAAATCCAGAGAATTTCTCTGGACCAGGAAAGAATTTCTCTAGACTCACATCAACCTAGAGAAATTTTCTCAAAACCAAAGAAATTTCCCTTTACAACCCAAAGAAATTTATTCAAATCAGAGAAATTCCCCCTCTTCAAATCACTCAACCCAGAGAAATTCACAACTCAGAAATTCCATTTTCTGTCACCATTCGAACCCGACCACATAGATTTAATAGAGGTTCCGAGTTCCAGATAAAGATTTCAACTCACCTATATCTTTCGAAATCGATCTTCTAAAATTGTTAGACGAGAGATCGAGCTGAACCAAATTTGCCATCTCCGGCCAAATCCCCGCCGGAATTTCGCTAGAAAACTTGTTCCGAGCCAAAATCAAGTGCTGTAGTTCCTGGCAATTGTGTAGATCTTTCAGAATCGGTTCGGAGATCGAGTTGTTAGAGAGATCGAGGTTTTGAAGTCTCGGGAGATTACAGAGAGAAGGAGGGAGAGAATCGGAGAGATTGTTACCGTAGAGAAACAGACTGTGGAGTGAGGAAGCATTGAAGAGTTGATCAGGGATCAAACCGTAGAAGTTGTTGCCATAGAGGTTGAGTCGCCGGAGATAGACTAGGGTTCCGAGCTCTGAGGGAATATAGCCCCGGAGATTCTTGGCGGCGAGAGAGATTCTGACAACACGAGGATCGGAGAATCCAGAGATATTCGTGCAAGAGATTTCGGTCCACCGGCAGGGAGTGGAGTCATTTTTGTTCTAGTCGGAGAATGCGCTGGCGCCTCCGTGATCGACGGCGGATTTTAGGGAGAGGAGAGAGAGGCCGTCGGAGGAGAGAGAGTGTGTGAAGTTGAGATTTTGGATGTAAATGAAAAAACATAATAGGAGCAGAGAGAGTTGAGACATTTGGAGAAAACAAAGCAGAACTGAGCTGAGTGATGGCTCGAGAAGTTTAGAGAGAGATGAGTTTTGATTTGGTAAGGTCAAATTTCTCTGTGATATATTGGTGTGGAAGTTGAGGGACCTTAGACATTATAATATAATATTGTGGATCTCTTCCATTACTAAAAATGGAAGGGACCTTAGACTAATTTTCCCTTAAAATTATCTAATTCTACTTATTCAGTATATCTAATAGTCTTATAATTTTATTTCCAAGACTTAGAAACCATATTCTAATAATAAGTTAAACACACAATGAAATCAAACACTTTTTAATGACAAAATAAAGGCCTCGTTTGGGAAGTGGCTATTTTAGTAGGCTTTTTGGCTATTTGGCTATTTTAATAGGCTGTTTTAGTTTTTGTATTTGGGAAGTTGAATGAAAATATTTTCAAATGATCGTATTGGAGAGAGTGTTTGATATGATGTTTTGTTATTAAATTACCAAATTGCCCCTACATAACCAATCTTCCCGCCGTTGAACTCAGCTCGGTATATCCCTTACGTGGACGTACGGATTGCACGTTAGCTTTGTTGTTTTGTCAAAGTTGAGTTGTAAATCAAATTGTAAAAGTTAATTGACAAAAAAAATTAAACAAACCTGTACCCATTGTCATTTAAATGAAAAAAAAAAAAGGATTGTTACCTTTAATTGAAAAAAAAAAAAAACTAATCTGGGTAACAAAAAAATAAAAAAAAAACTAATCTGGGTAACAAAAAACTCAGCTTGGTGAATCCCTCACGTGGACGTACGGACTGCACGTCAGCTTTGTTGTTTTGTCAAAGTTGAGTTGTAAATCAAATTGTAAAAGTTAATTGACAAAAAAAATTAAACAAACCTGTAACCCATTGTCATTTAATTGAAAAAAAAAAAGGATTGTTACCTTTAATTGAAAAAAAAAAAAAAACTAATCTGGGTAACAAAAAAATAAAAAAAAACTAATCTGGGTAACAAAAAAACAAAAAGAATTGTCATTTATTTTAATTGAAGTGTAATTTTTAACATGTACAGATCAAATAAATATATATGTAAAACTTATACACAATTAATTACATATATGAACAAACCTTCAGTCATTTATTAAACCTGACTCATTAATATAATTTATAATTCTTTTAAAATTTATAATTTATTAAAAATGGCCAGTTTATAATAATTTTTTTTTTTGAAAAATACATATTTTTCAACAATTATTTAGTTGTCAATTAATTTGCTTTTTCAAATAAAAATTCGGAATTTACTTTTTTTCCAAATTAATTTTGTGTAAATTACATTTGTTTTTTTTTTTTGCCAATAATTTTTTTCCAATTTCTGTTTTGAACTATTTTTCTTTTCCAACTATTTTGTTTTCAATATTTTTTTTTTTCAAGTAACAACTTTTCCCCAAATAAAAATATTTTGGGGAAAAGTTACTATTTTGTTTGCATTTTTTTTTTTAAAGTAATTTTGTTCCAACTCTAATGTGTACGGTCTCATTATCATAAATAATAAAAATTAAATTGAAATATATTTTCGTCTTAACCGCGAACTCTTTTCTTTAGTTGATGTTTACAAAAAATTTAAAACATTTTGTCAAAATCTGTTAAGAATTAAATATGAATTTCTATGTTTTTAAAAAAAAAAAAAAAAAATCAGCTTATAAAATTATTGAATTTCTCAGAAATTGAATAAATTACCAAAAAAAATTATGAACGACATTTCAAAAAAAAAAATGCAATTCTTGTCATGAAATTTGACTAGGAGGCATATGTCAAAGGCATCCAATAGGTGCAAAATTGAACGAAACTAAAGGATGATCTAGTTAAATAAAATTTATAAGTACATTACAGACATAACTGATACTGCTATTTGTATATTGTGCATTACAAATAGTTCCATAAGTCCAAAAGCTTGCTACGTGGGTCACATTCCAAAACAAATTTCCACATCGAAAAGAGCATATTCACAGTAGTCCCAACCTGCGTATATAAAACAAATGGTCGTGTATGCGAACACGAACTCTTGCCATATCTACATCTGTATCCCCAA